GGGGGGGCAAAACATCGTTATGACATCATAAAGTGGCCAAAATCTGATCAGCTCATTTTCAGACAGGTTTTTATAGAAATGGATCAAAAAGAGAGAGAATCTTTGTTCCTGAAACTTTCAGAGTCTCTTTCCACAGAGGGGACACATGTTGATGTAGAAGAGACATGAAGAAGAGGCGACACATGTTGATGTAGAAGAGACATGAAGAAGAGGGGACACGTGTTGATGTAGAAGAGACATGAAGAAGAGGGGACACATGTTGATGTAGAAGAGACATGAAGAAGAGGGGACACATGTTGATGTAGAAGAGACATGAAGAAGAGGGGACACATGTTGATGTAGAAGAGACATGAAGAAGAGGGGACACATGTTGATGTAGAAGAGACATGGAGAAGAGGGGACACATGTTGATGTAGAAGAGACATGAAGAAGAGGGGACACATGTTGATGAAGAAGAGGGGACACATGTTGATGTAGAAGAGACATGAAGAAGAGGGGACACATGGTGATGTAGAAGAGACATGAAGAAGAGGGGACACATGTTGATGAAGAAGAGGGGACACATGTTGATGTAGAAGAGACATGAAGAAGAGGGGACACATGTTGATGTAGAAGAGACATGAAGAAGAGGGGACACATGTTGATGTAGAAGAGACATGAAGAAGAGGGGACACATGTTGATGTAGAAGAGACATGAAGAAGAGGGGACACATGTTGATGTAGAAGAGACATGAAGAAGAGGGGACACATGTTGATGTAGAAGAGACATGGAGAAGAGGATTTTGCATAATAGGTGACCTTTAACACATGCATTAAGTAAACATAAGAAATGTGCTTTTGGCTCGAGAATAAGAAACATTTCTTGGCTGCACTGAATATATATTGAGTGCAGCCATCTGGAAAAGAGCCTGAGTCTTTAATCTGCTCGTAAAAGCTGCAGGTCTCATCTTGGTTTAATTCAATCTTGTATTTATAAAAGCTTACAGACATCTTGCGTTTACAATAAAGAACTTCTTACCGTTGGTCTGGACAGCTGAGGAGATGTTCTCACTCAGACACTTGTAGACGTTGAGCATGTCCAGGTAGATCCGCCCCAGCTGCACGACGAACGGGTGGCCCACGGCTTTACAGGCGCGCACGTTGGTCTTCAGGATGCTGCCCAGCTGACGCACCGTCTCCGCGTCCTTCAGGATGTCCACGTTCTGCAGAACAACGTTAGCAAGTTAGCATAAGTAGCATCAGAATCAGAAATCCTTTTATTCGTCCCACAAAGGGGAAATTGACATTGTTACAGCAAAATATAGATGGGGACGTAACAAGAAGAACATCATTATATAAAAGGCATTCACATAGTATTTAAAATACATTAAAAAAAAAAAAGCATTATACAATTTTAAAAGCCTGTTATAAGTGAATTTCCAAGTTTTACTTTTCATTTTTTATTGTACAAGATAAGACAGCTTGTGAATAACAAAGGCATCCATTGTGGGCTGTGGTTTGTTGTCATGAGAGATGACGGAAATTCATGCTGTCTTTATTTTTCCAAAAGGATTTTTAAAAAGTGAGACTAAAAATAATAAAGTGCAATTTTTTTTTTTTTTTTTTTAATACCCAGGGAATATCATTTCAGTTTAGTTTTCATTCACTTATATATTTTTTTATTTGATTTCCTCACCTTGGTGGCCTGCTGGATGATGCTGTCCCACACCTGGTTGGGCAGCAGCATGTACTTCTCGATCAGAAGCTCCTGAACCGCCTGGTCTGTCTGAGCGGCGATCATGTAGCCGACCGCCTCGTAAAACGTGTGCACCTGCAGAGACGAGGACCAGAGTTTATTTCACAGAGCATCGAGGAAACATCTTATTGCAAACATGTTCATATGTCACCGGAAAAGTCTTAAATAAAAAACAATAATGAAAACTCTAATAGTGTCTTTGCCAGAAGTGGGAAGTAGTGGAGTACAAATACTTCGTTACTGTACTGAAGTACATCTTTCTGGTATCAGTACTTTACTCCACTACTTATTTTTCTGATGACTTTTTACTTTGACTTCTTACATTTTGAACCCAAATACCTGTACTTTCTACTTCTTACATTTTGAACACAAATACCTGTACTTTCTACTTCTTACATGTTGAACACAAATACCTGTACTTTCTACTTCTTACATGTTGAACACAGATACCTGAACTTTCTACTTCTTACATGTTGAACACAAATACCTGTACTTTCTACTTCTTACATGTTGAACTCAAATACCTGTACTTTCTACTTCTTACATGTTGAACACAAATACCTGTACTTTCTACTTCTCACATTTTCCAAACAGGCTGGTTCCTTTAGTCTGAATGTGTGTTTGGTGGCGTGATCATTATTATTTAGAGTCATTGCGTGCCTATTGATTTGAACACGATCCGTGTATCCATCATTTC